GGCACCATACTTAATACATTTTGGATATCTTCTTATGCCGCTGAACCTGCTTTTTCACATTATTCTTCGTGCCTACATGATTTGTTTAACCATTTCCTTGATAATGAAGTTAGGTAAGAAGATGTAAGTGTATGACAAAACCATGAAAGTACTAAGGAGAAAATAAATCATCTAGGGCATAGTCTAGATTTTTGTTTGTTTTTCTTTTAAGACCACTCTCAGCAGTGCTCAGGCCTCACTCCTGGCTCTGTACTCGGGGATCATTCCTGGTGAGCCAAGACCAAACCCAAGTCAGCAGCAAGAGCACTCACTACCTGCTGTACTCTTTCTCTCCAACACTTCCATTCTTACTGTTTTTGAGCCTTCTCCATATAGTTTTCTGTAGAAGCTGAACCAGGTGACATTTCCATCAGCAGTGAGTGAGTTCCTTTTTTGGCACACCCCTCCAACACTTGTTAATTTTCAATGTTTTTAAGAATGACAGGTCGTAAGATTTTTTTCTTTTTTAGGAGCATCATTAAGTGAAGGGTACAGGGATTGTTCGTAAAGCCCCCACTTCCCCTGCAACACGTACACACATACATACACAGCTGCCTCAATACTAACACTAACCACGGACTGGGTGCAGTTACCGAACCCATTTCAGTGCATTCTCATGTTGCATTAAGGTTCACATTGTGTCGGGCATTTGGTGGGTTTGGACAAGCATAGAATGACATGCAACCATCATTACTCTGTCATACAAAAGGTAGGCCTTTATAAAGTGCTATTTATTTATTTATTTATTTATTTATTTATTACAGCAGTGTTAATGTTCTCCATCTACCCCCCTCCTCTCCTCCTTGGGAACCTCAGTTTTGTGCTCAGAGTCCGAAGTTTGTTTTCATTTGCCGTTGTCTGTCCCTCTCTTTGTTTTTTGTTATCGCACATACCCAGAGTAAGATCATCCAGCACTTGTCCTTCTCATCTGACATACTTCACTTCATGTAGCATCTTTGTCCAACCCAAGCTGTGGCCAGAGATAAGCTATCATCTTTTCTTTTTTCTTTTTTAAATTTTTCTGTTGGATGTTTATTATGGATTAGGGAGAGAAATATTTTATTTTATTTATTTTTAATTTTTTTATTTTGTAAAGTTGTTCACAATATTTAGTTACATTTAATATTCAGACACCAATCCGACCACCATTACATCTTTCCACCATCAAATTTTGGGTGTTTCCATCCCAAACCCCAATCCCTGCCCCAAGGCAGAACCAAAATAATATATATTTTTTATTGTTTGTTATGAAAAACTGCCGAAAATGCTACAAAAAAGTATCCTTAGAGGAAAGACTGTGAAGATTGTTGTATTTCACCCAAGGACCATTAAGCCCTTCTATATGAGATCACTAACATGTTGTTAAAGGTTGAGCCTTGTGTACTTTTTATATACGTATCTTAAAAGAAAAAATGTATATATTTTCCCTCTAAGATTGGTTGCCTCCCAGTGCTGGCGTGGATGTGGGGGAAAAAGGGACACTCTTTCACTGTTGGTAGGAATGCCCACTATTCCAGCCTTTCTGGGAAACAATATGGACAGTCCTTCAAAAACTAGAAATTGAGCTTCCATATGATCACACAATACCACTTCTGGGAATATATCCCGAGGATGCAAAAAAGCACAGTAGAAATGACATCTGTACCTATATGTTCATTGCAGCACTGTTCACAATAGCCAAAATCTGGAAACGCAAGTGCCCTAGAACAGATACTGGTTAAAGAAACTTTGGTACATCTACACAGTGGAATACTATGCAGTGGTCAGGAGAGATGAAGTCATGAACTTTGCTTATAAGTGGATAGACATGGAGAGTATCATGCTAAGTGAAATGAGTCAGAAAGGACAGACATAGAAGGACTGCACTCATTTGTGGAGTATAAAATAACATAACATGAGGCTGACACCTAAGGATAGTAGATACATGGGACAGGTAGACTGCTCCATAGCTGGAAGCCTGCCTCATGAGCAAAAGGGAGAAGGCAGCTGGAATAGAGAAGGGATCACTAAGAAAACAATGGCTAGAGGAATCCATCGAGATGGGAGATGTGTGCAGAAAGTAGATAAAGGACCAAACATGATGGCCTCTCAGTAGCTATGTAGCAAAACAATGCCCAAAAGTAGAGAGAGAGTATGAGGAAAATTGTCTGCCATGAAGGCAGGGAAAGGGTGGGAGAGGGGAGTATACGGGGGATATTGGTGGTGGGGAATGTGCACTGGTGGAGAGATGGGTGTTTGATCATTGTGTGATTGTAACCCAAACATGAAAGCTTGTAACTATCTCACGGTTATTCAATAAAATTTTTAAAAAATTGGTTGCCTCCTACTTTGAACCCTATCACATGTAGCACCGTAATCTTGGAGTATGGGTAGGGTGTGTGGTTTGAAGCATTTGTGGCTGTTGTGGTCCAGGAAGAGATTCACTCGTGGGTGATGCTCTGCCTGAGCGTGTGGAGAGCGGCTGTGAGCATGCATGCAGCACCTGGGTTCTGGAGGGTGTTGGCTGTGGGAGCTGGGTCCCTTGGAACAGGGATTGCTCTCACCCACCCCCCTCTGGGGCGCCCCGAGTGGAACAGCCTGGTGCGAGGTGTGGCGGCATGGTTATGGTGAGTATCATGTTATGCTGCCTTCCAGGAGAGAAGGACCTGCGATCTGGATGGTGGTAGATGATGAGATTATCTGGTGCTGACCAGAGGTGGCTTATGGACATGACTGCTGATTTGCCAGAGATGGGGGGTATGGGTGGAGGATCTCTGTTCTCCATCCTGTTGAACAGTCACAAAGTTCCCATACTTGGGTTTTTCAGGAGATTCACTCATGGATGAAGCTCTGCCCGAGTGTGTGGAGAGCGTGGCTAGGTTCTGGAAGCTAGGTCGTCTGCTGGGGCTGGATCCCTTGGGGCGTGGAGGGGTATCAGCTTTTCTTATGGCCTGTAGTATTCCTTTGCATATATATATATATATATATATATATATATATATATATATAGCACAATTTCTTTGCCCACTTATCTGTTGTTGGGTATTTGGATTGTTTCCAGATATAGGCTTTTTGTAGTGTCACAATAAACATAGGTATGCATGTATCTTTTCTATTTAGTGTTTCTGTGTTCTTAGGAGAGAGGAACTGATGTGTCAGATAGTAGTTAGATTTCTAACATTTTGACACTTTCCATATCATTTTTCACAGAGGCTGAACCAGACAAGAGTCGAAAGTTGAGGGTGGGCACATTAGAAATTTATGATAATATAAAGGCAAAAGCCACAGCAGAAAGGGAAAAAAAAGATGCATTGGTTTGGATACTGTAGCACTGTAGCATTGTCCTTCCCTTGTTCATCGATTTGCTCAAGCGGGCACCAGTACTGACTCCATTGTGAGATTTGTTGTTACTATTTTTGGCATATCAAATACACCATGGGGAGCTTGCCAGGCTCTGCCGTGTGGGTGGGATACTCTCGGTAGCTTGCCGGGCTCTCCAAGAGGGATGGAGGAATCGAACCCAGGTTGGCTGCATGCAAGGTCTACCCGCTGTGCTCTTGCTCCAGCCCACAAAACCCTTCTGGACTATAAAGATTTCTATAAATATAATTTAAAAGAATTATCTCATAGAATTCTCATAATAGTTAAATGAAATGGAGGTGCTAATTCCATTTGGGAAAGAGAAGACTAGGGCTCAGAGAGCTGCAAAGTAGGGCTCAGTGGCTTTCAGGGAGATCAGTGATGCAAAGAGTAAAAGCAGATGGAACAGGAGGCCCAGTGAGGCGGGTCTCAAGTTTTGTCTCTGCCGTGGATATGAAATCAGCTTTTCTGCTTCTGAATGATGGAGGAGCTTCATTTTTTAGGCAGTTAGAAATACTGTCTTTTCATTCATCATTTCAAGTGTTCACTCCTGTAACTTTTCTCATGACACTCTTAGGACTAAAATGATACATTTTTCAGGTGTGTCTTCAGCATTTCAGAAACATTATAAAAGGCATGACTTCCTTTTTATGATCTCTTATAGAATGTTCTCTACCATTCTCTAAATAGTAGAAATTATCTTGGCTTTTATTAGAGATACCGTAGGATTGATCATTGCTTGTTATAGAGATGGGGATAAGCCAGTCGTTATCAGTGGAATGAAATAAAAGGCCAATCATGTTGCTCATCATAGTTTATTAGGGGAAAAATCGGGAGTGTAAATGTGTTTGGAATCAATTTCAATGAGGCAAACCAAGTTAGAAATCCCACCTCATTTTGGATAAAAGCAGATGGCTTATTGTTTGTACACAGGAAGCTGTTTCTATGCAGTTGGCCTAAAAGTTGACTTAAAATGGGGGTATCACATTTATTGCCTCTGCACTTACAAAATTTATGCTTGTAATAACCTTGACACATTTACAGAATCATGTTTAATGGGCCCTCCAGAGGTTTGGTGACAACTGCAGTTTGGTCTGTTTTCCATATTTTTTCAGGAATCTGGAAAATCTGTAGGAAATGAAATATCTATCATAAAGTTTTTTCATCCTTGCTCGACTACTGCTCTTAAAGTTTGCAGGAAGGTTGATGATTATATGTTCTTTATTAACTACACCATGGACTGAATTTAAGAGATTTTACGAGCATTTTAGAATTTGAATCCATACTGCAAAGAACATTAAGATTTTTTACCATGAAGCGTCCCAAATGGGGCCGGAGATATGGCTCAAATGGTAATGCACAGTCCGTGCATATACTCAACCGTGAAATCAATCCCTAGCAGCACATGGCCTCTCAAACATGACCAGCAATGGTCCTCCAAGTTTTTAAAGTCCTATATGTACCCACTTTAACATGAATGAGGCCATTGTTTAAGTGCTCAATATATATACATATATATATATATTTATCATACACATATCTGAATAGGAACACACTTAATTCTATGTTGGTATACATACTGCATTCTTATAAGTTTTTAAAAAATTCTTTTGCCCAAACAGATAAACAATCAGATCCTGTATGGAAGAAGTCACCAAAATGCATCTGCCATTATCAAGACCGCCCCTCCCAAGGTCAAGCTGGTTTTTATCAGGTAAGAGAGTGACATGTAATCCAAAGTCTAAGATTTGCTCTGGACAGATTATTATTTATTTAAGACTCTCATCTTTGGTTTGTCTAGATCATGGTCTTGGTCTTAGAGAGTTGCATCTTATTTTGTTTGCTTTGTTTTGTTTTTTTGCTTTGTTGTTTTGGGGTCAAACCTGGCGATGTTCAGGGGTTACTCCTGGCTCTGCCACTCAGGAATTACTCCTGGTGAAGCTCAGGGGGCCATATGGGATGCTGGGGATTGAACCCAGGTTGGCCACTGGCAAGACAAATGCCCTCCCCACTGTACCATTGCTCTGCGCCCCACTTTTCTTTTTTAACTATACCTAACGAAAGTTTAGATTGCCTGGACTAGGAGGCATCCTTGTTTTTATATGTCTCACTTGATAGAGTAGTAGTTAACCCCAATCTTTGTATTTTTAAGTGTCTGTATTTCTTTTCATTCTTCCCCTCTGGGATCTGATCATTCTGCCTGTAAACCAAAGAGAAATAGAAAAATCTTCTCGTTTCTCCTCTAGTGACCATCATATTGATCAATCATATTTTTTTCTGACATTCGGTTTCATCAAAGAAAAGATAGAAACACAGAACCCGGGAATGTTTTGGGAGCTTCCCATGACAAATGCTGGAAAGGGCTCAGGGAAGAGCATATGCTGAGCATGCGTGAGCCCTGAGCTCCATTCCATACCAGATGCCCTCTCCAGGCACTGCTGGCTGTAGCCCTGGTGGTCCCCAACACCACCTGTCCTGGGCACTGCCTGGAATAGTTTGAAATAGTTTAAATTAAAATGAAGAGGCTGGAGCGATAGCACAGAGGGTAGGGCGCTGCCCTTGCATGCGGCCAACTAGGGTTCAATTCCCAGCATCCCCTGTGGTCCTCCAAGTACCACCATGAGTAACTCCTGAGTACAAAGCCAGGAATAACCCCTATGCATCACTGGGTGTGACCCAAAAAAGCAAATAAATAAATAAAATTAAATGAATTAAATGCTGGTGAGAAATCCAGGGTTGGGAAGGTCAGCTCTGCTATCTGTCATGTTGTATGTTGGGTCCCACAATGGACCCTTTCTTGTGGGTCAGCTAATTGGGTGCTTTGAGTGTGAGTGAATTGTAGTAGGGACTCTTCATGGCTGGGATCCCCTCCCTCGTTGCCACAGCAGGAGGACGGATTCTCTGGTTTTGGACCAAATTCTTTCTGGATGCAATGACAGATAAATCTGAATTCTTTCTAGGTCAAATAAGTAGCCTTGTATATTAACTGCCGCTCTGTGTTTTTCCCCTGGGTGGGCCTCAGTGAACCTCTGTACGTAGGAATGTGTAAACACCTACCCCATATACTGTGATAGTTCACATACTTGAAATGTTAATATAATGTCCAACAGTGTGTAACAGTCAAAAGAGCAGGGACCAGTGTTTTATGGTGGTGATGATCACTACTATTCTCCCCCACCCATTAGTTACCTCTCAGTAAAACCTACCACTGGCAGGGAGATGCTGGGATGAAGGGGTTTCTTGTCCCAGTGAGGGGAGATAATACAGGAAGTGATAGTAATATCCTTCCCACACCCTCACTTTAGACTGATAGAATATGGCTACTTTGCTTCTGAAGAAATACAAGGCTGGTGCCCTCCTTTCACATTAACTGGATTTTCCAGCTTTTTACTCCTGTGAAACCTTCTTCCTTGGATGTCTTTGTATCTAAAGACAATCTCAGAGGCCCCTGCAAGTTAGACATCAATCTACCCTCAGAGTTCCTTGCCTCTTCTGTTGCTAGAGGTTATGAAATTGAAGTCCCTTGATGAAAGAGAAAGAGATTCTAGGACAGGTCAGGGACTTGGAGGTTTAAGATATTGTCTATGGAATGAGGCCTCACAGATAACGAGTTCCAGCCATTTAGTTTGATGGCTTTGCTCACTGTTGGGGGAAGATGCCAGAGAAGATGTGTACTGTGGTAGCCCCTTCGCAGAAGTGCTGAGCACAGGGGGTGGTACCTGCTTCAAATGCTCTCTCTCTCTCTCTCTCTCTCTCTCTCTCTCTCTCTCCCTTTCATTCTTTTGTTGCTTGTTTACTATTTTCTGCATTTTGATTGGGGAGACCATCCAAAATTTATTTTTCTTTCAAAGGCAGACAGCAGCAGCAGGTAAAACGACAGGGTTTCTCCAAATAGCACCCCTTGCCAAGGCATCATTCATTTCTACACTCCCAAGACTGAACAGGGAGAAGGGAAAAGCTCCAGGGTCTCCATGATAGCATCCGCTTTCCAGTTCCTGCTTACTGACAATCCCAGAAGGAGAGGTGCCACCTGGAAAAAAAGATTTTTTCTGGATCCGCCAGTCAAAGGCCATCATTGAGGAAGCCTTGGGGAACAGTCTTGATCTCCCACAGAGAGAGTGGAAGTAAGGCCCTTGGTGGCAGCAATCAAGCTGGATAATTCAGTGCTCAGGTCCAACTGTGCTGGGGTCCACCAAGGCCACCTAGGGGTGAGGGGCGCTCCTCAGTACCAGCATATGATGGATCTCACAGGTGCTCCAGCCCTGTGAGCTCTTTGTCTGGCCCTTCTCAGTGACCTGGAGGCAGTTGGTCACTCAGTTATCCATGTGCCTCCGCTCCCCTTGAGAGTGAAGACAAATAAGATCCAAAGGAAATCATGTGATGCAGTGAAATAGTTGAAAACTAGAGCCCTCCTCCTTCAATAAGGAAATATTGAGTGATTTTTAATTATTTAGAATAGAGGAGGAAAAGATGAGTCTAACCCTGGAAATAGAGGCTCTTTAATTAGCCTCTAATAGCGTCCAATGATTTCCGTCCTTATTGTCCAGAAGGGATCATAAGTTGTACAATAAAATTGAGGATATAAGCAAGATTGAGGGTGCTGATGAATACTTATTGGCTAGAATTTGTTTGAAGTGATTTAGAAATATCAATATACATTCAAAATATGTGGGTTTTTTTTTTTAAATAAGACCACTGTAAAATAATGATGTGCCTTTCATGCCTGGTGGGTCAGGAAGTTAGCTCAAAAGGCCCAGTGTGCATGGTCTGCATGAGAAACATCCAGGTTCTACTCCTGGTAGCTTCTGGTCCTAGAATGAGTACTGGCTGTAGTGAAACCCAAGCAACAAACTAAGAGTAGGTCCTGATACCACAGAGCCTGGCCCCAAACAACAACAAAAGTGGAATGCCTAGCAATGTGTGCATTCAGAAACACGAAGAAACTTTCTTTCCTCTCCTACTAAGCAATTCTCTATTATTTATTCTCGAAAGGCATTTTTCTATTTGTTGTGAGGGCCACATCTGGTGGTACACAGAAGGATTGCCAAGACCTCTCGGTGGCACTTGGGGACCACTCAGTGCCTGGGATCCAACCCAGGGCCTACCTGCAAGGCATGTACTCTACCACTTGAATTGTATCCTTAGTCCCACAGTAAATTATTCTTTCTGAGTTTGTGGATTTAAAGATATAGAGAGGGTCAAAGGGATAATACAAAGGTTAAGGCTTTCATCTAGCAGGTGGCTGTCGCCATGACCCTGGTTCTAATCCTGGCACCCCCACACACCACCACGAGTGGCCCCTGAGTACCCCCAACCACAACCCCCCCCCCAAATAACTTAAAAATGCATATAGGTACTAACCGATCATTTAAAAAAACTTCCTCTTCCACTAGTCTCTTTACCCTACTACTTTACCAAATTATCTGGTGGGATGATTTGTTCTCTAGCTCCTTATCTAGGGTGCAAAAAAAAAAAAAGAAAGAAAAGTCTAGGCATAATTTCAGTCTCTGTTGTCCTACAAGCTTTCAGACTGCGCAAAGGAGAATGAACTTCGGGAGAATCAAGGGAGGCGGGTGCTGTGTGGCTGCCTTTTGTTTGAGCCAGCAGGTGGGTTTCTGGCAGTGTGTGTGCCAGCATCTTATTCATCAAATAATGCATCACTTCCACTAAGACAAGGATCTGTTCCTATGGCAGAGACTTCCTGCCCAACGAGAAGCTGTCTGTCCTAACATCTGACTGAACTGTAGAGACTCTCGTGGTTGCTAGCTCTAAACCCAGGACTCCCCTTGCCTGGACTTGAAACCCAGTTCTCTAGGAGCACAGCTGGGTGGGCCTAGCCAGTTTCTGGTCTGTACTAGGGGCTGAGGGGGTGGGTTTAGAGGTGGCTCATAAGTGGACTAACATAATCCTATATTTAAGTTGCCTATGTATGTATATTTGTATTTAAAAACACTCCCATATTTATTGAGGACTCGGTGATGTTTGCTACTATGTTAAGGGTGGGTATGAGGATGATGGCAGGAACAGGAGAGAAGGAAGGGTCCCAGGAGGTCCAAGAAAAGGAAGTGGAGACCAGAGAAGTGGTGTTGGATAACATTGGGTTGCCCTTGCTCCAACAAGGTAGTACTGCAGGTAAGATCCTTGTCTTGCTTCCAGATGACCCTGGTTAGATCCCTAGTACCACGTACCCTGAATACTGAACCAAGAGTGAGTCCTGAGCCCAAAACCAAAAACAGAAAGGAAGAAGTGGGGGGAAAAGAAAAGTGGAGGGGAAATAATTTTTCTTAAATAACTTTTTGTAATTTTTTTCTAATTCTTATGCTGGGTTGGAGCGATAGCACAGCAGGTAGGGCGTTTGTCTTGCATGCAGTCGACCTGGCCAACCCAGGTTTGATTCCTCCGCCCCTCTCAGAGAGCCCAGCAAGCTACCAAGAATATCTTGTCCGCACGGCAAAGCCTGGCAAACTCCCCGTGATGTATTCAATATGCCAAACACAGTAACAAGTGTCACAATGGAAACATTACTGGGCCCCCCTCGAGCAAATCGATGAACAATGGGAGTACAGTGACAGTGACAGTGACAATTCTTATGCTAGACTCACAATTTAGGATACGTTTACATCATGATTAAGCACAAGACAAGGAAGGGTGTGAACATTCTACAAAGCAATTTCTGGTAAATGTTGGAATGAGAGATATGGGCACATTCTGCCT